TAAAGCTTAACCATTACTTTTTTACATTATTTATGATAACTTGTTATGAGTATTTGTGTAGCACAAATTAAAATATACTATGTATATTTTTCGTAGTATTTTATAAACTGAAATTTTTTATTAGTAGTATATAAACTAAAATCTAACCAATAACTTTTGATCCAAAAGTTAAAATGCAAACTAGTGCCCATTTGTAATCTCTTACTAGTAAGGCATTTTACACAATGCAAATCAAAATGCATGGGTAAGTATAGTACTGAGTACGTCATGTTTTAGAATTGTAAAGGCTGTAACAATTTCTGATTAAATTTATTGGAAATGAAAATTTTGAGTTTCTTTCAAATATTTTTCTTTATTCAATTGATTAAACAGATTTAAAATTTAATTATTGTATAATCAGCTGAATCAATTCATCATATTCGACCGGGTTTTGAGAAAGCCTTTTTATTAGGAGTATTTTAGTTGCTTCATTTATTTTTTCTCTCTTTTTTGTTCTAAATTAGAAAGTCCATGAAATTTAAAGTCCATGAAATAATTTTTGTCATTATTTAAAGAAATTAACAATATTTTCAAAATTTTGATTTCTAACACGGAGTATATTAATAAATAAAATATAGTCAAAATAGATTATATAATTAAATAGTATACATTTCAACATGTTGCATCTTTTTAGAAAGTTGTATTCACTAGTGGAAAAACGCCAAATAGAGGCGCTTCATTTGAGGCGCTTATATATACAAGTGCCTTTAATTTTTATTTTTATTCAAATCCGTGCGGCACTTTTTAGTCTGAAACGCCTCCAAACTAATTTCCGCTCGTAATTTTAGTTTTAAATTTGGGATACCTGCGGCGCTTATAAGGAACAAGTGCCTCTAACCTTTTTTATTTTTTCCGATCATCACGCGTGCGTCGCTTCTTAGACCAAGCGCCCGCAATTGGAACGCGTGCGTCGCTTCTATCAAATAAGCTCCTCCAAGGCTTTTCAATCTGCTAACCCTAACGCCCGATCAAAACGATCGATTACAGATCGTAAGTTCAGCCCTTGCCGTGGCGACCCGAAGGAATCTCCAGCCTCGCCGCCCGACGCTGTGCTTGCCGCCGACTACTGCGCCGCTGTCCACTGTTTTCCTAGCCGCTGCCACCTTCGATCTGCCCTGCTTGCCGCCGCCGTCGACAGATATTTTTGTCGCCGAGTCTGAAAGCACAGATCCGAACTCCACGTCTTTCAGATTCCAAATCTTCGTGGATCATAAGAACAAAGGTGACCCTAACCTCCGAAATCACTTCTCATGTAGGTATTTACTTTCAGAAGTTTAACTAAAGAGGATTTGCTGATTATTTTGTGATTTAATATGGTTCATTCAGCTTACTTTCTTACAAATATGCATATACTGGGAATACGAACATCTCAAACTAGCAATGGTTGACTTAAAAGACTTCACTTTAACTTAAACATGGCAAAAAACAATCCAGATTGAACCTTCTAAAATTTAAAAAAAAAAGGTTTTCAACTGTTAGCCTAAAATTCTTCATTTTTTGAACCTTGGTATCACCCAAGAACTACCAGGGGTTCAATATCTCACGTATCAATATATTTCGTGTTTGATCATACGGCATGTTTCCCCTTTTACAGCTGGGTTGGACTTTTGCAAGTGTTTAATTGAACCTTCAGGTTGCTCTATAACCTGTATATGGTTTACGTTGATCTAATTTTCAATTAGACCTTTTTCTATTATGGTAGTGAGGAGATGCTCTAAGATTATGGAAACAAGGTTCATAGTATATTTGGGGATAACATACTATCCCCCTATAATGAAGAAGCTATTGGTGGATCAATGCATCAAGCACCTCCAGTTGATCAAGAATTGCTTTGTAGTGTTAAAGATCTTTGAAGAAAGTTCTTGCATCAAATGGTTAAACAGCTGGTATGTTTATATAACGCTTGAGATAAACACTTGGTATATATCAAACTTGCATATATAAATGCATAATTTAAAATTATTATGATTGAGAAAGTTCAGGTGTATGTCATTTAGGAAGTCTAATTTACCTCTAAGAGAAGACCTTAAAAATCAAAATCATCATCAAAATGACTGAAAAAACTGCATATTTCTTGCACTCCATTTCTTCCGACTTCATTCAGCTATGAAATTTCATTTTCAGTAATCTGTTTTTTCCTTTAATTATTCCTTCACATTCAATTTCTTCATAATTTTCTGTAATGCAGAGAAGATTGAGGTTGAGGAGATTGAGACTTGGATGTTGTTGTTGTAGAGGAGATTGAGCTATCTTCTACCTATCATCAGATTTTGGTTAGCAATAGGGCTAAACAAAGTATTCTTTAAGCAGTTTTGGGCTCTTGGCAATATGTTCTCCGAGAGATGAGGTTTTCATGATTCCTAATTCTTTTTTCCTAATCCAGACAATACTTCGTTAGTGTAGAGGAAAATGGTGGATCAATGCATCAATTCTACACTTCAATTCTTTTTTGTTAACATATTTTCCTTAGAGACCGACAAAGGGATTCTTTTCTTCTTTCTTCTGAACGGTCACTTAATGAAAGAAATTCTTCACCTTATTGATTTGTAATGCTATTTTGTTTCTGGTTTTTGAATCTTTGTTTCTCTTCCGGTTGAGTTTGATTTCCATGGTGGATGATGAAATGTGTGAACGTTGCTGCAGGTGAGGTCTGGTTTGGTGTGTTTGTTGCTGGTGTAGCATCACAGACTTATTTATATTTACATTTCCATTCTGTTTTTTAGGTTTTCAAACATGTGATAAAGAAAGAAATTTCTGATAGTGAAAGTTATGAAAATAAGCAACCATGGCATCTCAGTCTGATTCACCATGGCATCACAGGTTTTAAAGTGTTGTTTTCAACTATTTATATTTTGTATTATATGTTGTATTAAATATATTATGTAAACAAGTCATTATAATTTTGAGTTCATTTTTAATTGTTGTACAGACATTCAGGTTTAGAGTCCAAGGAGAGGACGAGGACCATATGCACTCGAAGAATTCAATGATATATCTAGAATATCTAGTCTAGATTATTTTTAGATGTAATGTATATGTGTTAATTTTATTTTGTTCCGAGCACTATTGTGAGTTAACTTTAAAATAAAAAATTGGTGTTATTTATTACGTAGTACAATTTTGAGAACAAATTTTGTATCCCTATTTTGTTACATTTGAATTTATTCGAATGGATATTTGGATTGATCCAGGCGTTTCAATAACTTCTAAATCTACTGAAATTAATTGAAATAAATAAATTTACAAAAAAAAATTAAAATTAGAGGCACTTTTGTGCTATAAGCGCCACAAACAGAAATTAAAACAAAAAAAATTGAGGCGCTTCTAACCTACAAGCGCCGCACGCGTCCGCGTAGTTTTTACAATTTGGAGGCACTTCTCATTGAATAAGCGCCGCAAACTTTTCGGGAAAAATAAAATCAGAGGCGCTTCTGAATTAAAAAGCGCCTCCGATAACGATTTGCGGCACTTTTTTTAGAGGCGCTTCAAAGCGCCGCACGTGACAAAAAAAAAGCGCCTCTAATCGACTTTTTTCCACTAGTGATTATATCATCGACATGCACCAAAAAGCTATGAGTATCTAGTCTAGTCGAGCTATCATATATTCCCTATGTTCCCCTAATATTGGGACGGAAGAGAGTGATGTGATTTTTAAGAAAAGTAAAATTATATGTTTGATAATAAGTTGATAAAGTGAGAATAAAGTAAGAATGAATTAGAGCCACACAATTTACCAAATATGGTATGAGACAATAATAGAGGATATCCAAAAATGAAAAATAGGACAATTATAGGGGCAGAAGGAGTGCTACGTGTGTGTGTGTGTGTGTGTATAGAGAGAGAGAAAAGATCAGGTGAGAAGTGCCCTTAAAATGAGAAGTGAGAAGTAATCTCAGCCCTTGGATTTGCATCTTATCTTACAACGCAGTAAACTTATAGACTAAATATAGGAACTTATGAGTTATGACCAATAAAGCATAACTTATAAAGCTCTCCATGATAATTACAAAAATGCCACCGAGTCAAAAAAATTTCCATTCGTAATTATTTTTTTGCGGTGGCATTTTCGTAATTATTTTCGAGGGGTCTATCAGTTATGATTTATTGGTTAAAAGTTCCTATATTTAGTCTACAAGTTTAACTTCACAGTTCTCAGCCTAAGAGCAATCCGCTTCCTATATATATACATATGCATACATACATACATACATACATACATACATACATACATACATACATACATATATATATATATATATATACTCCCTCCGTCCCTAAATTATCTTCAATCTTTCCTTTTTGGTCCGTCCCTAAATGATCTCCTCTTTCCTTTTTTGGCAAAGGATTTGTGGTTCACAACAATTCTTACACATTTCTCTCTCCTCTGCACAACTCTCCACCACACAAAACCCACTATCTTAATCCCCGTGCCCGGTCAAAATGGGAGGTAAATTAGGGACGGAGGGAGTATATATATAGGGAGGGGTAGGTTCAAGTAAAAAGTAGTCTTCCCATGAAAAGTGAGAACAAATCTTGGCCTTCCATCACTTGAAAATGGATGGATTAGATGAACTTTAAACACAAGAGATTATTTCAAAAAATGTGCAAACGTTTATACTATAAAGTGGATAGTTACTGATTAAAAGTGCATTCATGCGTTTCAAAAAAGATTGTTAATTTTTTCCAGCTTGTGCACTTTTTATTTTGTACGGAGTACCATATTGCTTTTTTGTGTTCTACATGTGCACTTTTTGACTATTCTGATGCACATTTGCCACAATATTTTCAATAAAAATTCTCCATAATTACAAATATGTCACCGCGTTTTCAACCTAAAAATTGATCTCTTCCATCCATTTTTTCACATCAATGACCAAGATTTGTTCTTATTTTTCACCTAAGAAGTACTTTTTATTTGAACCAAACTCTCTCTCTATATATAATATCGATGTGTATATATATACACACATATGGATTGATGGATGTGATCTCCAAGCTAAGATAATAAAGTACGTCATTAAGAAGCTAAGCCAGGTAGCCAGGGATGGATTGCAGTGAGCTGATTCCTGTGCTGGTTATGGTGATCGTGCAGTTAGGATATACCGGAGTGAATATCATTGCGACGGCCGTTATGGGCGCCGGCATGAATCCCTTTATCCACATAGCTTACCAGCAAATTTTCGGCAGCCTTGCCATCATTCCCTTGGCTTTTTTCATGGAGAGGTACGTAAGTAGTATATATGACTATATCTATACATATATATTTGATATATGATCTTTAAATACGTAGTATAAAAAAATTCTTGAGTAAAAATATTTTCGAATTTGAAGCTAGCTAAGAGCACTATACTTTTACTCTTTAAATTAATTTTTGCTTGACAAATAATACAAGTACTCCGTATCAATTATCTCCTATATTTAAAGTCCAAAATATGACGTCGCGCAAAATTTTCAAGATGATGTTAAATTGCTCCTATTTAGAAGGAAAACTATACACTAGCTCCCTTTTTAGAGTTACATTATTCTTATTCCTATTTTAGGAATTTTTCATATAGTTAATTAAGCATTTCAAAATATATTACGGACTTATGTAGTACGTACAACCTTCGTCCCACAATGATTGGGACAAGAGGATGTGACACAACTTCTAAGAAAAAGTGGAACTAAGTGATTGGTATTGAATTACGTACTCCTTAATAAAGTGTGAATAAAATAAGAATACATTGTATCCACCCAAATATTATCAAATATGGTACGAGACAATCTTAATGAGACAGACGAAAAGCTAAAACGGGACAAAGTGAGGGGTAGGAAGGGAGTAATATATTTCATAATCACTAAAGTCTTTTTATATTCTTAATAATTATACTTTGGGTTTCGCTTCTTCTTTTCTGATTCTTCTTCAATATTTATATTTTATAATGATTAATGTTTTATTTTTCAGATTTGAAAGGAACTCTTAATTAATTTAGAGGTTTAGATTGCTCTCAAAAATGATTTTCCTGGTTTGAGTTATTTCTAGATTTGTTAAACGTATTGTTGTGGTATAGGGTTATTGACATGAGGTGGTTCTGGTAAACAAATATGAAGGATTAAGGATGCAATATGCACTTTCTTTTGTTTTTAGTATCGTGACACTAAAAATCAAGCTGTATTTCTGAAAATTAAACAAATGTTCTTGCTTGGACAAAAATTATTTTCTCGAACGATATATGTTATGATTGATTAGATTTTAAATTAAGAAAATTGTCGCAATCGATATAGATTAATAATATCGATCTCCATGAAGTTTGGAATATAATTGAGGTACATGTATTAAATTCTTAGAGATTCTTAATCATCCATCTTCAATTATGACAATTTTAAGAATATAATAAAAGGGTAAAAAGAAAGAGAAGAGAATAAGTTAGTATATCTCATCTTTTTTTGGATAGGAGGCATATCTCATCTTATATGCAGGTACTGATCGTACGTATTATTTTTTGGGTGTAATTAATTCATTGCAGGAAAACAAGGCCCAAAATGACTTTGAGGATATTTTTCCAAATATTTATGTCGTCACTCTTTGGGTACGTATTTCCATCATGATTTACATTCTTGTAAATTTTCACATTTCAAAATCTCATCAAATGTGTAGAGGAATTGAAATCGTACTAGAGTAATTAAACTCGAGATTATATATTGGAATTTTTTGAAAGGATTTATATATTGGAATTAATAAATCAATTTGACACGTTTGCAAAATTAAAAAATAAAACAATTAGACACGTAAACTAAACTTCAAAATCCAAATTAGAAACAAAGAGCCAGTTGTACCGTGCGCACGATACAACCGGCCCTTTTTGGCTACGCGCTTCTGCGTCAATCTTGCTATGCACTTCTTCTTCTGTTTCGCACCAAGCTTCGCACCAGCTTTTCTGATCTCGTCTGGTTCTTTGATCTGGCTTCGTCTAGTTGCTTCGTCGCCGGAGAAACAGAAACAAAAATGGCTCTTCGCTTTGTCTGGTTGCTCATGGTTGCAGCTCGCTTATCCCCTTCTTCTCTAGAACGGACACAGCAGATCTGTTTCGCCTCCCCCCCCTCTGTCTTTCTTTTCACTCTTTTCTTTTTCTCTCTTTTTCTTATTCAATTTTGGTGTTTGAGATTGTGATTTGGGAAGACAAAGTGAGGCTACTTCAAACAACGGAATCCCTACGGCTATTGATCTCAAATGAGTTTTTATTAAACTCAAATGAGTATACACATAAAAGAAATGGACATACACAACTGAATATTAAGCACATTAAAAATGAGTTTTATATTAAACTCAGATGAGTATACGCCTCAAAGAAATGAACATACACAACTGAATATTAAACACATTAAAAATGAGTTTTGTGTTACACTTAAATGAGTATAACGCCCAAAATCAATGAGCATACACAAATGAGCTTTTGAATTTTTTGATACTCATTTTGTAAATTATGCGTGATCATTTGGTACTGCTTTATGCTCATATTAAAATGATGCGCATATAACGCCCAAAAACAATGAACATACACAAATGAGCTTTTGAATTTTTTGATACTCATTTTGTAAATTATGTATGCTCATTTGGTACTGCTTTAATTTATGCTCATTTTAAAATGATGCACATATCAATATATCGCCCAAAATCAATGAGCATGCACAAATGAGCTTTTGATTTTTTTTTATACTCATTTTGTAAATTATGTATGCTCCTTTGGTATTGCTTTATGCTCATTTTAAAATGACGCACATATCAATATATCGCCCAAAATCAATCAGCATGCACAAATGAGCTTTTGATTTTTTTTATACTCATTTTGTAAATTATGTATGCTCCTTTGGTATTGCTTTATACTCATTTTAAAATGATTCACATGTCAAATATAACGCCCAAAATCAATAGCATACACAAATGAGCTTTTGAATTTTTTGATACTCATTTTGTAAATTATGTATCCTCATTTGGTACTGCTTTATGCTCATTTTCAAATGATGCACATATCAAACATATCATACTACATTAGATTCACATATTGAAATTAATTATAAACATAATTTAAGAATTTTTTTTATACGAAAAATAATAAAAAGGAACTCAATTAGAAGATATGAAACAGAGGTCACTGATGCTCATTGTTAGGCTCCTAATACTCAGAAGAATAGACTCGATGCTCATTCAAATTACATCAATGCTCATCTAAGAGAAACCATGAACTTCGTCAAAATTACAAAACTATCACCGGCTGTACGGTGTCAGCCGTACAGCTAGCTGTATGGTACACGCTTCCGGCAAGAAGCGCTCCTCCATTATTGTTTAAAATAAAAAGGGCGGATGGGATGGGATATGATATATGGACAATGAAATGCAGGCTGACTGGGGATCAAACGGCATACTTTGTGGGGCTAAAGCATTCCACTCCCACCATTGCAACGGCTTTGGCTAACCTCATTCCAGCCGTCACTTTTATCATAGCCGTCCTCTTCAGGTAACTTTACACTTAGTTTCATATTTCATAAATGATAGATTACATTATTAATATTGAATAATAAAATTTAATAAAGTTATAAATGACAAGTGTATATAAAAAATTATGCATCCAAAGATAAGATTGTAGACAAAATTTAAAAAAAAAAAAATCCTAAACAGAAGGTAAATGTAACAAATTTGAAATTTACTCAAGTAGGAGTATGATTGTTTTGTTCTCAAAACAAGACCCGTGCATTTTTATTTAAGGAATTTTTAATCCTTTTATTGTTTAAATAGAATTGCTTTATATCCTCTATTTGGAAAAGAAAAACACTTAGTTCTCTTTTAATTTTTTTGTGTGTGTTTACTTTTACTCTTATTTTGAGCAATTTCTTATAAAATTTTAGAATATATATATAGGGGTTTGGGGTTGAGGGGGAAGCTGCAACCGCCCCTGCCCTAGACAAGCATATGGGTCCGAGCAAAAAAAATCTTCTCATTTCTAAATCTTCCAATCATACCCTCAATAATTTTGAAAATAATACACTATTACAACTATTTTTTTGGATTTATCCTTCCTTCCATCGCTCTATTCCACTATCTTCACTTTTGAAATGAGAAGATTTTAAAGTTTCATAAATGATACACAGATTACAATTTAAAGAATATTTAAACTCCGATCCCTATAATTTAAAAAAAATAACAAATTTATATATCTAGAATATTTAAGGAAATTTTAGGGTTCAGAGTATTAGAAAGTACTTCACTACTCCTCTATACTCCACATTCTCAAATGGTTGTACAATTGCATTAGAATATACGACTATATAATTATTTTTAAGCAAAGGCCAAAATGACGTCGTTTAATTCCTTTTTAAAAAAATATTGGAACAACTGCCCCCCATGGTGGATGCGTCCATGAATACGTGGACCAAATTACTTTATTTTTCCAAAAGGTGGAATCCCACCCCAAGAGCCCCACATTCCGACCCGACAGGATGGTGAAGGAGTAAGTCACGGGGATTCAGTCCGCCTAATTATGATAGGCCTCATACCCATGCGATCCAGAGGTCCAGCCCAACATGAAGCAGGAGCTATAACCTCCACATGGCTACCCACCACTCAACCAACTGAGCTACCTTTTGCCCCCTGCTCTACTAATCTTTTACCCCATTTACAGTACTTTATTTTGCACTCCTATTTCCCTTTACTTTAACAAGGGTAATTTTGGAAAGTCAACTTTACTTTCTTTCCTCCCCCAAAAACCCGTAAAGTTGAAAGGCTAAAGGGTCAAATAGGTACATGAACTAACTTAAAGTGTTCAATTAGCCCCTTATATAAGAGGTTCTGCCCGACCATCGCCAATTGGGGCAGTTTCCGGTGGAATTTTTTGATGAAATTTTTTGAGCATCTTCTTCATTAAGTCTAGTTTACCCATACCAAATTTCGGCTAAAAATTCAACCGGGAAAGCAGTCAAATGATTTTTTGAAGGTAACTCCGCAGTTAAACAGCGCAGTACATTTCGAAAAATCATTTGACTGTCTTCCCGATTTAATTTTTAGCCGAAATTTGATATGGGTAAACTAGACTTAATGGATAATATGCTCAAAATATTTCATCAAAAAATTCCACCGGAAGCCGCCCCAATTGGCGACGGTCGGGCAGAACCTCCTATGTAAGGGGCTAATTGAACACTTTAAGTTAGTTCATGTACCTATTTGACCCTTTAGCCAAGTTGAAATGGGAAGTTAATTTTCTGGAGGGAGGGAGTATTTATATATGGGTGCATGTGTGTGTACATAGTTTTGTTCTTGCATTGTACATATGAAAAAGGATAAGTAAATATATTGTGTGGTGTAATGAATTAAGCTTGCTAGGTAGTAAAGTAGGTAGCTACCTAGCTATATGAAATAATTTGACGTACGTTGTTGCAGACTTGAAAGGGTGGGATTAAGAACAAAGGCAGGGAAAGCGAAGATTTTGGGGACCCTAATATGCATTGGTGGGGCGATGTTGCTAAGCTTTTACAGGGGAGGCGTTGTGATTGGGCAGTCCAGCATTTACTGGAAATATGCCAAAAATACAGTGGACAAGAATAGTTCTAATCACCCAAGCAGCCATGCAGATTTGTTGTTGGGGCCTTTCATGGTCCTGCTCAGCGTTTGTTTCTATACTGCCTTCCTAATCACCCAAGTAAGCTAGCTATGCTAATATATATAAGTGCTCATCCCACCAATGTTTAAGACTAATATAATTAATTACTTTTGAAATTTTGGTTGAATATATAACAGACAAGACTGGGAAAGGAGTATGGAGCACCATACACTAGCACTGCTATAGCCTGTGTGCTTGCAAGTATTGAGTGTGTGACAATTGCAGTTTGCACTGATCACAACATCTCTGATTGGGCTTTGACTCCCATGAGAGCTGTCTCCACCATTTACAATGTACGCACGTAATTAACTAACATCTATCTATATATATCCTCAGTTGTTAATCGATCATTATAAGTACTTAATTTGAAACTTTGCTATGTATGTATGTATAATGATGGACATGCATGAATGCAGGGGTTAGTGTATTCAGCACTAGCAATCCTGCTGACTTCATGGTGTGTAGAGAGGAAGGGGCCTTTGTATGTTGCGGTTTTCAACCCTTTGCTGCTCGTCTTTACTGCCATTCTCAGCTGGGCTTTTCTTCGCGAAACCATACATACCGGCACGTAAGTCTACTGTATATCAGATTAGACTAGACTTTGATAGTTATAAAACAAGACATCCACCTGCGGGCAATAGGCCTTCCAGGTCAAATAAGACCGGACCTAAAAAGTAGGGTCCAATTAAAAACATGTACGTATATCATCCGCTGGCTAAACCAATAATTATATTGCACCTGCTGGTTTTATTTGTTATTTTAGTTTTAATTTTGAGAGGGGAAAAGACTCAATTATTATGCATGTTTTGTTTGTTAATATTATAATCCAGAGTGTTGGGGTCAATCCTAATTATAGCGGGGCTCTACGTTGTTCTGTTGGGAAAGAAGAACGAGGTGGACGTGATTAAAGTAGAAGAAGACAAATTGAAGGAAGCAGCAGGCGAAAGAGAGTGCTAATTAATTGATAATAATTGTGCTAGCTTAGCTAATATGGGGCTGCCAACTTTATGACCGGTCATGAACCCAACAACATAGGAGTATATACTCCGTATTCGTTATCTACACGCGATTTGGTAGATGCCAAGTGCTCAAAACTTGTACGTTACGTTGTATTTTCATATAATTGTTTCTAGCATTATATTTAGCATGTGGAATATTACTCAATTGCACACAAACTTTATGTATGTGTTTACCCAATAGATGAACACAGAGAGACGCGAGACATCTCTTTGCCATAACCAGAGCATGGATCGTTTCCAAACACTCTATAAGAATATAATTTCAATATTGTGGTAATAAATCAGCTAAGAGAGTTTAAGAGGCAAGTGCAAGACTTCTTTATATTTGAGTCCAATAACCCTAAATATGTAGTAATATCCATGTGAGGTTTAAGAGGCAAGTTCAATAACGAGTGCGGGTTAATATCTAGTGCCCTCGAGATAAAATCAATAATATTTATGTTTCAATAGGTTAATATTTAATATTTCTCTCTTTTAAGCATATGAAATAAAATATTGCACTTATGCTTCACATCGAGTTCGGGGTGGTTGTTGGGTGTGTTTCGAAAAACAAAGAAAATTAATTAATAAAAATTAATTAAATAAAATGACAAAACGAAAACAAGAAATGAGATGAAGTAGAACAAGTCAAAGCTCGTGCAACGCACGATTTCCTTAAAACGTATTCGTTGCCTCCCGGGGTGCTAGGAGCGTTGCAACGATCGTTTCCCAGGATACGATGACTTCGAACGATAGTTTAGCACTCAAACTATGGTTCCAACGAACAAGAACAATGTCGTGAACACTGAAAGATTTTTTCGGAGAAGACTGGAGTGTTTTTGAGCTAAAAGAGAGTGCAGTACGTATGTGTGATGTGTCTTTTTGCAAGGCAGCTACCAGCCTTTTAAAGGGGTGGATTTGCATGTGTTAATGGCCTGTTTAAGGCATAGGAAAAAAATGGAACGTAAAGGAAGAACAAAAAATAACGTTATCTTTAGAAGATAGGATTTTCGGACGGCATTCGTGTCCGCATGTCGCCCGCGCACGCAAGTCGCGCTTTTTGTTCTTCGGTTTCGGGATTTGATTCGCACCCCCCCCCCCCCCCCCCCCCCGCGCGCGTGAGAGAGCCTTTCCCTTTAGGAAGCTTAACTCTTTAGGGGGGGTTTCCCTTTATAAAGGGTTCAAATTCCCTTGTGATTTTCGGTGTGGGAAAAACCCACACTAAAAACCCACATTTTCCTACTTTTCTCCATTCCAACGGGTAAACTTCGAAAAGCGATTTCTCATTCACCCGTTATCCGTTTTGAGTGTACCATATATCGAATTGTAGCCCTAAGCAAGGACAATCCGAAACCACTTTGACCCGACCCAAATCGAAAGTACACCTCACTCAAAAAATTGCCCCAAAATGACCATTTAATGCAATTTTAACACACTTTTTCCAACAATCCCCCACATGAATGAAAATTGATTTTTCGAGACTTAAAAAAGACACGAAGATAGGAGGACACGTTGTGTTCACCGGATGATCCCTGCATACGGAGAGGTAGGTTTAATCCTTTGAACCTTCCGCTGTAAAGACACGTTTATTTACTGGCTGTATAGTGGACTCGATGTCCTTGAACTATACTGACGTCGTGTAAACATTGACTTATCTTTACACAGGAACCTTCCAACTTTGTTCCGTTCTCATGGATGTGCCCGTTTTGGCCATGGGTCACCGTCCTGGTTCTGCAAGAGTTTCTAAAGAACTGAGCCTTTACAGTTCTCCTTTGAAGCGACCCTCTTCTCTCTCACATAGGTGATTCTTTCACGAGTATCCCGCATACTCTTCCAATGTTATCGAGTAGATCAACATTTTAGAATCATTAAAGCAAACGTTTTTGCTAACCTTATGCGGGAGTCACTGTTTCAACGAGGAGTGGGTAGGAGTCCAGGACCCCCACAGTGACCATCCTTCGCTCTATAATTTAGTTGTCCCATTTGAACCTAGGACCAACTAGGTTAGGTATCCACTATAGAACTTTTCAATTCACGGGCTTTAATCCCATTCCTCGTGTCAACTTCTCCAACAATTCTCTATCCAATGCCTTGGTTAGCGGATCCGCTATGTTATCCTTTGACTTCACGTAGTCAACAGTGATAACACCCGTTGTGAGAAGTTGTTTAATGGTGTTATGTCTACGACGAACGTGTCTAGACTTACCATTATAGAGATTGCTCTGTGCCCTTCCAATTGCCGCTTGACAATCGCAATGTATGCATATTGGAGGGACAGGCTTCTCCCAACTTGGAATATCCTCGAGAAAATGGCGTAGCCATTCAGCCTCTTCAGTGCACTACTTATCCAAAGCTATTAGCTCAGATTCCATCGTGGATCTAGCTATTAACGTTTGTTTCGAGGACTTCCATGAAACGGCTGCACCCGCCAAAGTGAAAATATATCCACTCGTGGATTTTGAGTCCTTAATGTCAGATATCCAACTAGCGTCGCTATACCCTTCAAGTACAGCTGGATATCTTCCATAGTGCAGTCCAAGGTTTTGGGTTTTTCGTAAATACCTCAAAACTCTTACTATTGCCTTCTAGTGTTCATCACCGGGGTTGCTAGTATATCTAATTAGCTTACTAACCACAAAGGCAATATCAGGCCTGCTACAACTCATTAGATACATTAAACTGCCAATAATCCTAGCGTATTCTACTTGAGAAATACACTCTCCACGATTTTTGGTCAGGTGTACGTTTTTATCTAACGGCGTCCTTGCCTCTTGATAATCATCCTTATTAAATTTAGTAAGGATTTTATCAACGTAATGAGATTGGCTTAGCGTAAGACCGTCAGGTGCTCTAATTATTTTAATCCCAAGGATTAAATCGGCCAGCCCCATATCCTTCATGTCAAATTTAGAATTTAGCATGTTTTTGGTAGAATTAATCATTAGATTATTGCTACCCACGATGAGTATATCATCCACGTATAAACATAAAATGACATAGCCGTCTACCGTGCTTTTCACATAGACGCATTTGTCACTTTCGTTTATTTTAAACCCATTAATTAACATTGCATGATCGAACTTTTCGTGCCACTGTTTAGGGGCTTGTTTCAATCCGTACAATGATTTAATTAATTTACAAACTTTCCTTTCTTGGCCAGGAACACGAAAACCCTCGGGTTGTTCCATATAGATTTCTTCGTCTATATCGCCGTTTAGAAAAGCGGTTTTTACGTCCATTTGATGAACTTCCAAATTCCGCAAAGCGGCAATTGCTAGTATCATCCTAATGGAATTTATTCTCGTCACAGGAGAATATGTGTCAAAGTAATCGTGGCTCTCACGTTGCTTGTATCCCTTGATTACAAGTCTGGCCTTATACTTGTCAATGGAACCGTCCGGTTTCATTTTACGTTTAAAAATCTACTTGGATCCCAAAGGTTTACATCCCGGAGGGAGATCAACCAATTCCCATGTGTGATTTTTTAGGATAGAGTCCACCTCACTTTTGATGGCTTCTTTCCACATCGGTCCTTCGGTAGACGTTACGGCTTCCGTATAAGTCCGTGGCTCATTTTCTATCAAACAAGTTAGAAAATCCGGTTCATTTTCTACCATACAAGTTAGAATATTCGAATCGAATTCTAACAAGTATGTGAGAAAATCCGGTCCGAAGGATTTTTCAACTCTAGCACGTTTGCTACGTCGGGGTTCGGCTTCTTCACCGGATCCCTCGCTAGTATTTTCCATAACTACGTCAAATGTTCGTTTTGACGTGCTAGGTCCTTCGTTGGACTTGCATGGAAATACGTCTTCAAAGAATGATGCATTCCTTGACTCAATTATTATGTTTTTATGTACATCTGGATTATTCAAATCGTACACTAAAAACCGATAAGCACTACTATTTTGTGCATATCCAATAAAAATACAATCCACCGTTTTTGGACCTATTTTTATTTTCTTTGGTGTCGGTACAAGCACCTTAGCAAGACACCCCCACACTTTCAAATATTGATAGGAAGGTCGTCTACCTTTCCACAACTCGTACGGAGTTTTATCATATTTTTTCCGGGGAACCTTATTTAAAAGGTAATTGCTTGTTAAGATCGCTTCGCCCCACATATTTTGTGGCAGGCCCGAACTTACTAGCATCGCATTCATCATATCTTTCAATGTGCGATTCTTTCGTTCCGCAAGACCGTTTGATTGAGGTGAATAGGGTGCGGTACGTTCATGTACTATACCCACACTAGCGCAAAAGTCACCAATTGGTGCTTCATACTCGCCACCTCGATCACTCCTAACCGTTTTAATCCGTCGATTAAGTTGGTTTTCCACTTCATTCTTATAAAGAATAAATTTATCGATTGCTTCGTGTTTATTTTTTAATAAATAAACATAGCTATAGCGAGTGCTATCATTGATAAAAGTAATAAAATATTTATTACCGCCACGTGTTTGTATTGATTTAAAATCACAAACGTCACTATGAATTAATTCTAGTGGTTCCGTTTTTCTTTCAACCGATTTGAAAGACGCTTTCGTTAGTTTTGCCTCGACACAGACATCACATTTGTGCTTCACATCAATTGTGAATTTAGGAATGTGTTCCATGTTAACTAATCTACGTATAGAATTAAAATTAACATGTCCTAGTCTACCATGCCACACATTGGAAGACTCAAGCAAGTAAGCTGAAGAGATTTTATTATTATTATTATTATTATTATTATTAATAGTCATTACATTGAGCTTAAACAGCCCATCAACTGCATACCCCTTTCCCACATACATTCCCGATTTAGACAAAACTAGTTTGTCCGACTCAAAGACCATGCGGAAGCCATGCTTGTTCAACAAAGAGCCCGAGATCAGGTTTTTGCGTATCTCCGGGACATACAACACATTGTTGAGAGTCAGCTCCTTGCCCGAAGTCATCTTCAGGACCACCTTGCCCACGCCTTCCACCTCGGAGTGAGCAGAATTTCCCATCCACACCTTCTCACCGTTTGATGACTCAAAGGTCGTGAATAGCTCCCGGTTAGAGCAAATATGCCGGGTTGCACTGGTGTCCACGAACCACTCCTTGGAATTGGATCCAACGAGGTTGACCTCGGTCACCACGGCCGCAAGAATGATGTCTTCATCCTTTTGCCCACCTTGCACCATGTTGACTTGAGAGTCTTTCTTCTTCCTTGGTGCCTTGCAATCCGAGGACTTGTGTCCATTTTTGTTGCAATTGAAGCATTTTCCATTAAATTTGGGTTTGGAAACGCCTCCTTTGGGACTGATATGAGTTTTCTCGCACTTAAAAAGATT